CTAGCCAATAGATGATAGCTAATAGTCAATATCTCATAGTTACTAGCTAATAGTTGATAAGTAATAGTTAATAGCTGTTAATAACTAATCAATAGCATGTAATTGATCCTAAATTTGCCTGATTTAAGCCCTATATAAAGGGTTTCCTGGCCCTGAGCTGTGTGTGCAGATACTCACGGGGCAGTAGACGGGCTGATAGCCCGGAGGAGCCATGAAAGCCATTCTGGAGGAGAGAGACAGGGAAAAGAGGCGGCCTTTTCTGAGCCTGATCTCAATGGAGGCCTCTTTTTATACGTCGGGACAAGGGAGGGGAGCCGGTGTTTGCTTTAGAGGTGAACCGTGCAGGGGAGTGGCGGAAGGAGGGAGTGGATGTGTGTTTTCACGGAATATAAAAGAGGAAAATGACTGAAAAATGCAACAGCGATTGCAGTGATAAGAGTAGAAAGAGCTTGAGTCATTACAGCCAACACAAAGAACAAAGAGGCCATGATAAAGCCTCAATTTAACAGGTGCTTTCAGACTCATATGTGCTTAAAAAGAGTCTCCAACAGGACATTTTTCTACAGATACTGCAGCTAAATGTACGTTGTTGTTTTTTTCTCTCTTACTGCTTTAAGGATCTCTCTTCTTTTTGGCGTGGGTTATTGTTACCTTTTCTGTATTACCTATTATCAACACAGTTACCTATTCTCTCTTCCTTTTTTAAATTTTATTTGTTGATTTATTTTTTCCTTTTCTTTTTTTTTCCCTTTCTTTTTTCTCTTTTCCTGTCCCCCTGTCAGGTTTGGCATTAGCCATCTTACTTCTGTGACAAAAATAAATCTTAAATAAATAATAAAGCAGTATTGGATGATCAAGGGACCCTTGGCAAAGCGGAGTGCGGCCTGATGGATTTGGGAAAACGGGAACTCTGGTTGTTTTAATCTGGTTTGTAAATGTTCAATAAGTATGTTTGATATTCTGAACAGACTCCAAAGGAGCAAAGCTTCACACAGTAGTGATAAAACAAGTTACAACTGGCATGATAACTGAATGAAGAAGGAAAAAAAGGAGAGATTTTGAATTGTAAGCACATCTATTGTGACTGAGGGCTATCAGGCGGAAAATCCAACCTTAATAATTCATTTATAAATCAAACATCCTGTGCAGGGGAGTCTGAAACAGCCTATTTTCTTAAGATATATATATTTTTAAATTTGTAGTTTAACAGCAGGAAACCAAGTTATGAAACCAAAAGCATCAGCAAAACATGAGATTTGACCAAAAAGATGGATAAAAATGCATGAATTAAAATGTGATGAGTCATGATAGACACTTTACTAATCATGATCTTATCATTGACATAACTGAGTAAAGTCTGCCGACTTAAAACAGCCAT